TTCCTGGTATAAAAATGACCATAAAGGATAAGTGTGTTGGGAATGGAGTTAGGACATCAAGGCATGACATCACCTATTTCTTCATTTTTTTTCCCAGACTGTCCAGTATTAATAACTCTGATTCTCCCAGATTGATAACCATGATTCCATCATTTATGACCATGCGCAACTCAATGTTTCTGGTCCTGTTTCTTTAATGCTACATACAGAGCAGGAGTGCTAAAATGACATGGTTAATTTACATTTAACAGTAGTTATACTTTTGGTCCTGGCCACCACTGCAGATACTGTGATGATCACTTCAGAAAAGTGACTGGCTTGGGGAGAAAAAGAGAAAGACTGAAAGAGTTAAATTATGTACATATGGAAAGTAACAGGAGGCACTGACCCTTGAAGATGATAAGTAGTTAAGGCATCTACTACTAACAACCCCTTATGTATAGACTGATGCATCAGCATAAAGATACACAGAAGACCACATTCTTCATATGTTCAAATTCCTATTCAGCCCACCTCCAATGTTAGAAATCAAACTTTCCAGTGGCTGACAAAGGTAGCCTAACTGAATTCTACAGCTGGTTCCAATTTTATGGCCTAAGAATTCAAAGCACATCACAGGAGTTCTTGTTTGTACACATCTCCCTAGAGTTATTACTTCAAAAGTCATGCAACTCATAAATGCTTTTGCACCACTAAGAAAATCTTAAGAACTCTTGAGCATTGGGCTCTAGCCCACGTAGCCCTCCAATAAAATGCTCATTTTCAAACCCATAAATGTATCTCTCAAAAAGCAAACAATTTCATTCTCTGTGTACTAACACTACAAGCTTTTTCCAAGTCCGGCTTCCAAGTCTACCCTAAGATTTTCATAAAGATTCTCACTAGTGAGAATTCTGACCTGAGGTGCATGTTTCACATCTTTCAGAAAATCCCTCCTTTTTCCAAATCCAAATTCTTCATAGAAATCTTCTTTTCAGGACTACACCAACACCTCTTCACACTTCTTTCAGGGGGGCAGCTTCACCCTTCAGCAACCAATTTATCCATCTCCAGTGGCCTTCCTTTCCCAAGCAAAGTTCAATAGTCTAGGTGTAGAGCCTGTGCTCTGCACATGCATGTTCTTGTTTGAGGCCTTAAACAACAGAGCCAGAAAAAAAAAAAAAGAAGAAGAAAGAATTGATACAAACTTTTCCTGTCACACTCATCTCTACAGGATAACAGAAGGAGACACACAGACCACCAGGAAGATGCAGAGTGGAGCACTTTGCTCATTCTCATGAGGGAGAAACACAGTGGAAGCAACTCTGGGTGTCTCTGAAAGAGAGCGTTGGAGAAGCTTACTATGGGATTTGGACTGGGATTGGATGATTTAGAGGAAGAGCTGAAGGAAGTACAGCTGTCCTCTCCTGTATGCTGTCAAGAATAGGGGGCAGTTCTGTAGTTGGACTAAATCTTATCTACACAGGTGAATAATAGAAGCAAAAACTATGATTTGGTAGTTAGTCAGTTCATGTGAGCCAGGGTAGAGGATTACTTGGCATTTTCGAGCATAGAGAATCCTCATTCTTTGGGCACATACTGAGTCATGAAAACCACGGTCATTTTATTGTTCTTGTTCTGTCATAGCAGAGCACCCTGGTCTGCAGTTGATGTTCTTTATTTTTATTTTTTTTTATTAATTTTAT